CAACCGGGGATTGAACTCAGGCCCTTGAGCTTGCCAGGGAAGTGCTTACTCCACTGAACCATCTCCCCGGCCCCTGATGTTAGTTTTAACTTTAATCTGTGCGGATTTTGAAAAAGCTTAGGTTTAAAAATGGGCCTACGTTAAATACTTGGGAAAATCCGCAGGGTTGTCATTAGCATATAGCCTTGTAAAGTTTTCTTAGCCTAGTTAACTCATAAAGGTGCTTTGCCTTTTTGTTGAACCTTATGACGTAGTTCTGATATTTCTTTATGCCATTCTTTTATGACTACCTTGGAATTTTTGCCTTTTTCAGCTTTCATACTCTTACTGATTTGTTTCTTTAGTTTTGTTGTTTATTATGATTTCCAGAAGGATCTGTTCTGATTTGTGAAATGTAACTAAAATTAAGGAAGTAATTTCTTTGAAACCTTATTTTCTGTCTTGCTTGTATAAGCTATAGTAATTGGAAAAACTTATTACTGAGAACTGGCATCAGAGCTCTTTGACAACAGACCCTGCATCATTATTACTATAGTAAACTGTCATATATCAAATGGGTAGGTTCCTTTGCATTGTTCGTGGTCTAAAAGGATAAACAATTTACCAATTTCTAGGTTAAAGACGTTTACCATAGAGAAATTCTCCAGTGCAGTTAAAATCTAAAATTTGAATGAAAATGTAGATCTGTGTATTTTATTTAGTATTTATAAAACTCAACTTAAGTAATGTAAAGAAGAATACTCAAATTTACGTGGCCCATGAACATATATGTGTGTGTATTCTTGGTATCGCAGACTCCTGCGTTCTGAGTTTGAAGAGCGCGAGTGATTATAAAGTTCTGCTAACAGAGGGGGGTTAGTCAGCCACGCTGCGTTTTAGGTAGCAAGAGTCTGGGTAGTAAGTAATGCATGTGAGAATTTATTGGTTTGATTCCTGAATTTTGGAAGGGGAGAATTCAAACAGTTCCATTTGTGAAGGATCTCTGTATTCCTGTGGATATATTGGCTTAATTTTTTACTTGCTTAGTATGTTTTTTTCTTGATTACTGTATTTGAGATTATGGTCTGTAGTGATAAAAATTATTTTACTTTGGCAAATGAAATCAATTTTAAATCATTAAATGTTGAGTTTAAAATGTGGAAATACAAAACATCAAATTAATGTATTGATACTAATTTTAAAATAATTCAGAAATACAACTTTTTATGGAGTTACTAAGACCACGTTTATTTTGGATGTGGTTCAAATTTCTTTTCTTAATTTAGAAGATACATATTGATAATTTATCTTGATTTCCTGTGTGTAGGAATAAAGCGGTGGTAGTGAACCTGTGGCAGGTGTGCCTTCGCGAGCTCTTGCTCTCGTTGAAAGCTCTAAAGTTCACCATCGCTGGGTAGAAGGACAGGAGATGGAAGATGAATTGTTCCTTCTGACAGATAGCAATTAAAAGCTACATGTCAGATGAGTTTAAGTAATGGATCTGTATTAATGGTGTGTAAGATGTTAATTGCAGGATTTATTCTGTGGTTGGCCACTGATCAGAGGTGTGATTTGAGCAAGTTTAAAACTTGTGCTTCCTCTGTGTGAGTGACATCTATTTTACAAGTTGTACTGAATGAGGTATCACATGCAAAGCACGATATAGTTCCTAGGCTTTAGTCAGTTATCAGTAAGTGTGAGCATTTATTACTAGTGTTCAATATTTTATCTGAGTTTACGTAGCTTAAATAAATGCGTGTTTCTGAAAGGTTGGATACAGTTTGAGTAAACTTCAAAAATGTTCCAGAATTATATTGTGTAAAAGAACATTTTATAGCCAGATCACTAGTTAGCAACAAATATGTGTTGCATATTATTTTTGTCAGGCCCTGTTTATAAGGAGGTCTGGTGTAAGGGCGACAGTGGCTCTTAGATAAATGGTTTTCGCTGTAAGTGTAATGCACATTAGAAAGTTGTACTCAGTGTGATCAGAGCACTTAATGGAGTGACCAGCATGTGCGGTGGAGGTGGAGTAGGAATGAAGGCTTCATGTGGGAAGCAGCGGCTCAGACTTTGAGCAGGAAGTCTAGGCAGTGTCATCGGGAGAAG